TAGTTATGACAGACCTGGTTTGACAAAGCCCTGGTGGGATGATTAGTTGCAGTTGGTCCTGCTTTGAGCAGGGGGTTGGACTAGATAACATTCTGAGGTCTCTTCTAACCCTAATCTTCTATGATTCTATTAATTGGTTTGGGGAAGATGATTATGAAGATGTGGGCTTTTGGGAAAGGCAAGTAAAACCCGTTTCCTACAAAATACAAACATCCACCATAGAAGACACACTTATTTCTTAAATATGATGGAATTGGGAGAATTTTGAGGCTTTAACCTGACAGACAAAGATAGTCTTTCAGCTGAGAGAGCGCTTTTTTTATTGCCAACTTGCATGTAATAGTCCATAGCTAGTAACATAAGCTTTGAGCCCATTTGGTAACATAGAATAGTAGAATCATAGCAAAATACACGAGTAATAGAATCATAGAAACAAACTTGCATTATGTCTTCTGACAAACATCTGTCTTGTATTCTCTTTCTTGGTTTAGGCCCTGATTCAACAGAGCACTTAATGCACATGCTTAATTTGAAGAATATGAGTAGTGTTATTGATTTCAATGAAACAACTCATGTACTTAAAGTTAAGCACGCATGTAGGTGCTTTGCAAGAATAGGGCTTTAGTTTGTTTCCTCTTTGATATTTTGGAAATTGTTCCTGATTGTCTGCACATACCTGTGCAAAAACTTGTATAAATCAGAAATGATGCCTCAATTCTTATCTGGATTTGCAATGATAGTGGGTACTAAAGCAGATAGTATTATTCATTGCACATAAATTATCCAGTAAATGTAGTCCCTTTGTCTGTTTGTAGCTTACTATTACATGCTATTAGCATATTACCTGTTCTTATCAGTGCCTGACCCACAAAGGAGGTGGTTGTTTTGAGCTGATCCCTTCACTTAAGGTCTAGCGCTTCGTGCTCTTAGTTCTTGAGATCCGCTGTTCAATCCCCGGTGTCAGCCAAGAGAACAATTGTCACATGTTTGTGTTTTGTCCATCAACAAACTAGGAGTGTGACTAATTTAATTACTATTCATAATTGTTCAAACAACTAATGAAAATAAAACATCATCAGATGCGCTGTTTGCAAACTGCTCATTTCCATTTGCTATTCGTGGGGTGTGATTGATGACCTAAATCATGCTCTTGTTTCTCATCCTTACCTGGTTGAATGAAAATGTAAACAGAATAACAACAAATGACAGACAGTGGATAACGAATAATAAATACTCTGGCTTGCGCACAAATACCCTTGTATGAATGCAAACATGAATATTTATTCCCCAAATATTTGGGTGAACAAAACTCCATTTTATGCAAATGGTGTGGTAGGATTTTTTTTAAATAATCTTTTAAAAGAAAAACAGAGATTTCTATCTTCCTTCCTTTCTTTTTTAACCATTTATTCTCCTCTTCCTTTTCGAAAATATTGTGGACTGCTTAGCACAAACTTTAGCCTGACCTTTAAACACTTTTCTTAAAAGTAACACATAACCCTCTATAATTTCCCAAAGTAAAGAGCATATTTCTGACACAGAACCATTTAATAAATAAGCATCCTTCTAAAAACATACCCAAATTATATGCCAGATAAGACTTTCCAGCCCTGTCACAGCGCTGGATTCACACATTTTATTGGGTCAACTCATGAAACATGATTAACCTCAGCAGCGCCATCTGTTGGGGAGCTTATACAGTATAGTTTACTGTATCTTGGTGCCTTTATTGTGACCTGCAAAAAACCTACATCACAAAAGACAAATAAATCTGCAGCCTTTGTCCCTGTGCTGTTTTGCAGCATGGACTCTCTCCTGGCTAATCTCATTTGGAGGTATAAAATGTTCTGCATTTTCTATGGATTTGCCTTTTTCTAGATGACAGATTTTTAGATTGCTGGAAACAGCAAATGTGCTGTTCATAAAAAATAATAATAATAAAATGAACTCTTAAAAGGCTGCTTCAAACAACATTGGTTTCATTCAATCTTTTAAAGTGTACTTGAGCAAGCAGTTTGCACTATCATATAAATGTACAATAAAAGGTGATTACTCATAATGGATATTTTATATGTCATCGTGATAAGATGGGAATGGAATGGAAAATATTTTGGTTAAGGCCTTGGTTTTAATTCTGTACACTATAGTAAACTGTGGAGGCAGCATGATACAATGGCTAGAACAGTGGATTGGGACTGACCGGGTTTCTGTTCCCAGCTGTGTCATTGACTTACTGATTTTAACCCTTGATGGCCATTTCACCTTTCTGTGCCTCTGTCTTCCCTCCCAAGTTTTGTCTATTTGGATTGTAGGATCTTTGGGGCAGAATCTCATACTATGTGTTCCTATAATTCATACCACAGTGGAGCCCCAAACTCAGCTGAGGCATATTGGTGCAACTGTAATATAAATAAATAATAAAGAGAAGCTGGTATGTGTGGATTCTGCAGCAACACAGCCCTCAGCTAAATAAATGCAATTCCCATTGCAGTGTGGGTAAAATCATGTCTTTCTCAATTGCTCATCAGTCAGTCTCTTGGGATATCATAAATTCATTTGTTCTCCAGTCACTGTAGAGTTTTTGAGAGTAGACAAGATCTGAATTGCTAATGTTTAAAAAAAGCAGTATTTTTTTATTTAAATACAAACAAACAAAATAGTTACAGGATTTTTATACATAATAAAGAGGCAGGCAAGATTGTTTTTTTAATGGGCAGCCTACTTGGCAGGCATAGTTCAGTGGCTGCTCAAAACAAAGAGGGATATTTCATATATATTAGTTTTTAACTATTTTTATAATTGATCTCTTACATATAGTGACTGTGTCTTACTATTTTACTTTGGGCCGTGTCTGAATCCATTTGCAGTAGCTACCTTAATTTCAAAAGAACAAAATAACCATAAATAAGGGGTGCCCGATATACAGTATGACCCATTTCACGGGGCTTCATTTGGCAGCTGTGTACTGGTGTGTCCTCCCATTAGTGAGTTGCATCCAAATCTCAAAATGTACTTCGTGGACCAGATTCAAGTCTGAGAAATGGATCCTTTGTTCTGATCTCTAAATTGGCATGTGGGTAACCCTCTAGAATAGCCAGCTCTAGCCTGCCTCTCTTGGTATCCCTCACCATAGAGGACTTGGCCAGAGCAATTTCTCTCTGGTAGCCCTTTGGTGACCAAACCAAACTGGTGTAATGTGAAGCAGTCCTGTGGCTACTCTAAGTTACACCATGGGCTGAAACTCCTCCAGAGACAAGTGGAGCAAAGGGTGGTCTGCAGCTGCATGTATTCTGTCAGAGCTGGGGTTTCAGCTCATAAAAGAAAACTGTACCCATTTTTGTTCTGCAGTTTTGAAACTATACATAAGAGGCATCAATCACATATAAATATCATGAGCTAGATTAGGTGGAGTTTCTTCAGATTTTTCTTCTGGGGACAGATGAGCTATACCACCTATGTGGCTTCCTGCCTTCTGACAGCAGAACTCTGGAAATTTGCTCTAAAATTTTTAAAGTAAGCTCAACATTTTACACCAGGACAAAATCATAGTATGTGTTACTGTGGAACCAAAAATCCTACCTCTTCAGAGCTGTTACATTTAAAGCTCCCCTTCTCCCCATCATAGGGTTATCAAAGTCTTGGCTAAATCTATACTAACATTCAGTGATGTCTGAGATCCAGTAAACAGTCTGTGTCCCATAGATCGTGCGCTATAATTTCATATGTGCATGCACCTGTTGTAATTTATAAGACCTTTGGGAGGCAGTGTGGTCTAGTGAATAGAGCACATGACTGGGACTCACCAGACCTGCATTCTATTCCCAGCTCTGTCACAGGCCTGCTTCACCTCTCTGGGCCCGTTTCCTCATCTGTAAAATGGGACTAATGATACTTACCTCCTTTATAAAGTACTTTGAGGTCTATGGATAAAAGGTGCCCAATAAATTCTAGGTATCATTCTTCACCAAATATCTATATTTCTTTGGCTTATCTTTTCACTTGTACCATGGCATGAAATATCTCAACTTCTATTCTCCACAGAGAGATCTCCCAGAATGATGCCTTGGAAGTCATAGAAGCTAATGTGTTTTCCAGCCTTCCCAAACTACATGAAATGTAAGTAAGTGAGCAACATAAGATCGTAGGATAGAAATCTAAAGACTAGTGGTGGCCAGATATCAAAGGGTTTGGTTCAGATGTACTTTAAAAATTCAATACATGTATGCTTGGGATCTCTCTTTTCATCTGTCTATTTCCTTCTCTTCCCACCCACCCTTTCTTTTCTCAACCAGATGCTTCCCTCGTCTCTTGCCCTCAACTCTCTCACTCTTTGATCTAAAACACTTCCTCAGCTATTAGCAATATGGTAAAACAGGTAGAGGGCTGGGATTCTGACTCTGCTAGGTTTGGGCTGGCTGCTCCTTTGGGGTCATGTAGAGTTATCCCCTGTCAGAAAAGCCCCCAAATGTATTGCTATCCTCTATCTAAGAGAAGCCCTGGATCTATTTAAAAAGGCACTGATCCATTTGCTGTAATATTTTATTTTCTCCTTTTGCAGAAGAATTGAGAAAGCAAATAACCTTGTGTACATTGACCAAGACGCCTTCCAGAATCTTCCTAGCCTCAAATATCTGTAAGAATTTTTACACTTGCAATTATGATAATTGTTTGAAACAATATGAATGCATTTCAATTATCTTTCATACAAATGTTCATAAACATTTTCACTCTGTTTCCTTTCAACAATGGCAGTGTTTCAGCAATGGCTTTCATTTATATTTCATTTATACTCATTGGATGATTAAATCCTTTTAATATGGGTTCATTTGGTATTCAGCTTAATTTTAGTTTCATTTAAATAGCGCTCCTCATTGTGAATGTGGCTTGCACTACTGCAGTTGCCATATCTGCTCCCATGGAGATGCCATCATAATTCGGTGATAATTAAATTTGCCCTTAAAATAAAGTATAATCCAAAAATATTCTTGCATCTTATAGCATGCAGCCTTAACCTGACTGATAATCTCTCCTCAGCCGTGTATTAAAAAAACAAATGAAATCCAATGGACTCTATTTAACAGTAATTGTGTTTAGTGGCTGCAAACTTAAATAAGCTCCCTGGATCATCTTTGATGTACAGCCATAGATAGTCCAGGATATCAGATTAATTTTTTTCATGCCCTAATGATAAAAGCCCAAATATTGCTTTCCTTACTCATGGAAGCAGTCCCATTGGCCACAGTTTTCAGATATGCGTATCGAAGTTTAGACACCTAAATCATTGTTTAGACTCCTAAGTAAAAGTGGACTGACTTTCAGAAACTGAGCAGGCACATTTCCCATTTACTTCAGTAAACATTGTGGGTGCACAACACATCTGCAACTGAGATCTCTTTTAGTTAAGTGTCTAAATAAGGAGATAGCAAGCTAATTTTAGAAATCCAAGGCCACTAAGTTCTGTATTACAGCTGGTTACTAGACAGAAAAAATCCTTAAAGGCATCTGCACAGACATATATGAAAAGTTGCCCTTTCCTTGTCAGGTTGGCTCTCCTGAATGGATTTGGTCACTTTTTTGCAACCAGATAAATATAATGTGCAATATGGACAGGCAATTAAAATTATCTGGTCAATGAAGGGCCTGATCTAAAGCCCACTGATGTCAGTGGAAATACTTTCTTTGACTTCAGTGGGATTTGGATCAGAAGTGCTGTGGACCTTGAGAGGTACCAGTAGGTAGCTCATCATTACCCTGATAAGGCACGTCTTAACTTGTTTTGTCATAAGCAAAATGTATTGATCCCCAGAAGTCACTGAAGGACACATTTACTAGACATCAAATCATTCTTATAGTTGTGGGATTGGGGATCTGTTTCTGTTTGGGAAGCTCAGCCCATAAAGAGAGTCTGGGCAGGGTGCTGAGAAGCTCTCATTTTTTAGCACAGTTAGTTGGGACTGGACTTAGAATAAAGCAAAGCTTTTGCAAAGTGTTGTAATTCATTGTAGTTCTTGCATCTTTTTCCATATGCCCTGGGTTTTTGTGGCTTGTGCTGTTTGCCACAGTGTGTGCAGTGCCATGTTCTGTCTTTGGTGGATTCCAGCTTTGAGCTCCACATGCCTTTCTGCTTTAGGTCTCTTTTCGTGTAGTATTATGGATTCTTTACCATGTCCACAGTGTCAGAGCAGTGTACACCCTCCATAAACTCCAGTCTGGACTGGGTGACTTCTTTTGCTTGGTGTCAAGGCTGCTTCCCCACTTTGAACTTTAGGATACAAATGTGGGGCCCTGCAGAAAACTTCTAAGCTTAACTACCAGCTTAGATCTGGTCCGCTGCCACCATCCCAAAGCTAATTCCCTTCCCTGGGTAGCCTTGAGAGACCTTCACCAATTCCCTGGTGAATACTTGGATCTTAAAACAAGGAGAAATTAACCATCCTCCGCCTTTCTCCCACCAACTCCTGGTGGATCAAGATCCAAACCCCTTGGATCTTAAAACAAGGAAAAATCAATCAGGTTCTTAAAAAGAAGGCTTTTAATTAAAGAAAAAGGTAAAAATCCTCTCTGTAAAATCAGGATGGAAAAATAACTTTACAGAGTAATCAAACTTAAAGAGCTCAGAGGACTCCCCTCTAGCCTTAGGTTCAAAGTACAGCAAACAGAGATAAACACTCTAGCAAAAGGTACATTTACAAGTTGAGAAAACAAAGATAAACTAACATGCCTTGCCTGGCTGTTTACTTACAAGTCTGAAATATGAGAGACTTGTTCAGAAAGATTTGGAGAACCTGGATTGATGTCTGGTCCCTCTCAGTCCCAAGAGCGAACAACTTCCCAAACAAAGAGCACAAACAAAAGCCTTCCCCCCATCAAGATTTGAAAGTATCTTGTCCCCTTATTGGTCCTTTGGGTCAGATGCCAGCCAGGTTACCTGAGCTTCTTAACCCTTTACAGGGAAAAGGATTTTGGAGTCTCTGGCCAGGAGGGATTTTATAGTACTGTACACCGGAGAGCTGTTACCCTTCCCTTTATAGTTATGACACTTGGCAATTCGAATTGCTTTCTCAAGGGTTAATTTGGGATCTTCCAGTAGTCTCTCTCTGAGTTGTTTGTCCCTGATTCTAATCATGATCTGGTATGAAGCTGTTGTTATGCACAGCCAATTGGAACTGGACACATAATAAAGAAGAGCTCTTGCAAGCATCTTAAGTGACTAGTGAGGACCTCGTTGAGGAAGTGGTAGTAGGGGACAACTTGGGCTCCAGCGATCATGAGCTAATCCGCTTTAAACTAAACGGAAGGAGTAACAGAATTAAATCAAAGACTAGGGTTTATAATTTTAAAAAGGCCAATTTTAACAAACTAAGGGGAATGGTAAGGGAAGTGGATTGGGCAAACATATTAATGAATCTTAAGGCAGATAAAGCCTGGGATTACTTTAAGTTAAAGATGCATGAGTTTTCAGAGGCCTGTATCCCGAAAAAGGGAAAAAGATTACTAAGCAAGAGATTTAGACCGAGCTGGATGAGCGACCAACTCAAAGGGGCGATTAGGAAGAAACAGAAAGCGTACAAAGAGTGGAAGAGGGGAGGGATCAGTAAGGAAACTTACCTTAGTGAAGTCAGAAAATGTAGAGATAGAGTGAGAAAGGCCAAAAGCCGTGTAGAGTTGGACCTAGCGAGGGGAATTAAAAGCAATAGTAAGAAGTTTTACAGCCACATAAATAGGAAGAAATCAAAGAAGGAAGAAGTAGGACCGCTGAAGACTATAGCCGGAGAGGAGATTAAAGATAATCTAGGCATGGCGCAGTATCTCAACGAATATTTTGCATCGGTGTTTAATGAGGCCAATGAAGGTATTAGGGATACTAGCACCGTGACAGAGGGGCAAACAGAATGGGGGATTACCGTATCCGAGGTAGAAACAAAGCTCGAACGCCTTAATGGGGCTAAATCGGGAGAACCGGACGATCTTCATCCGAGAATATTGAAGGAATTAGCGCGGGAAATAGCGGGCCCATTAGCGATAATATTTAATGAATCTGTAAACTCAGGGGTTGTACCGTTAGACTGGAGAATAGCTAATGTGGTTCCTATTTTCAAGAAAGGGAAAAAAAGTGATCCGGGTAACTATAGGCCTGTTAGTTTAACATCTGTAGTGTGCAAGGTGCTGGAGAAAATTCTGAAAGAGAAACTAGTTGAGGACCTTGAGGTTAATAGCAAGTGCGATAATTTACAACATGGTTTTACGAAGGGCAGATCGTGCCAAACGAATCTGATCTCCTTCTTCGAGAAAGTAACGGACTTATTAGATAAGGGAAATGCGGTGGACCTAATATACCTGGATTTCAGTAAAGCGTTTGATACTGTACCCCATGAGGAATTATTGGTTAAGATGGAAAAGATGGGGATCGATATGAAAATCCAGAGGTGGATAAGGAATTGGTTAATGGGCAAAATGCAGCGGGTCGTATTGAAGGGTGAACTGTCA